TTAATATATATATATATATATATATATACTAACAAGAAAAAAAAGTAAATTAAAAAAAGAAGGGAAAACAAACATGATAAACTCATTTGTTTCACAAACTTAAAATGCTACACGCTAATTCTTGTTTATCCTACCTTTTTTCTCCCTCTTTTTTCTTCTCTCTACTAATTTTTACCAAAGTTAATCCATTTTTATTACATTTATTTAATATTATTATCATTTTTTTGATATGTTATCATTATCATTGTTATTATCGTTTATTATCATTATTACTACTGGTATTTATCATTTTCATCATTATTATTATTATTTATAATAATTGTTATTCCTGGAAATTTGATTTGTTAATCAACCGTAAAATTATTAGAATTTATCAGTAACAACTCATAATTTGCAACAGTTAAACCTTTAAATTTCCAATCTTAGTGTATTATTTTAAGAAGTTAATTGATTTCAAACGTTGATTACTAAAAAAAAGAAAAAAAAATGTTTCACTGATTTTTAGTGAAGTATTTGAGAATCTTTTTTGAAATATTTTTTTTGGAAGTTCTTTTTTCGTTGAAACATTCCATTTGAATTTTTTTTTCTTTTGTTAAAAGAAAGAAAGAAAAAATCCATTGTATGCTAGTGTTGTACAGGAATTTATCATTAACAATTCGAAAAGAAAACAAAAATTAACTTTCATGATTTATTGTTGGCTGTCATTATTGGTTCAAAAATCATGTAACATTTTTGACGTTTTTTTTTCGTTTTTCTCCCTCCAATCAATTTTCTCTGTATCACTTTCAAATTTGTTTTAATTTTATTCAAAATGATACAAAAAAGAATATGCATAAATTAAAATTTCAACTTTGATATGAAATTAAACATAAACAAAGACTTGAAGTTGTGATTTTAGTTGAATTTTTCAAATTAATAATATGATGATTAATTCTTGTTTTTCGTTTTCTTTTTTTTTCAGTTTTCGTTTTTCTCTGAAAGAAATTTCATTCTAACAAAAGTTTCCATCAGCTCAATAAACTGAAAAGTGTTTTGAAAGGTGGAAGAAAAAAAGTTGAACTTAAAATAATGATGACTGATGAACATTTCAAAAAGAAACTTTTATATATTTCAATATATATTTCAAAATATTTCAATATGTATTTCAAAACTATATATTTCAATTGTTAATTACAAATAAACATCATTCATATTGAGAAATGCAAAAAGAACAGCAATAATTCATGCATTTCAAGATTACAAAACATTTTTTATTATCATTATTAATGTATAGCAATTCCGATTAGTTAATAATTTATATATTGAATTTTTTAAAAAAAAGAGCACATGAAATGAAAAATTTTTCAATTTTGCATCATTAAAACGAAGTATTGAAAAGGAATATAGCCTTTAATGCTTTCACATATAATATTTATGATTTTATGCATTGGTGGGGCTTTTTTTTTCCTGGAATTTATTTTCACAAATCAATAACTCGATTTTTATTTGGAAAATTACCGAAGAATTCCCCTTAGTTTTTTTGTTATTTTTGTTATTTTATTTCAAAAATAATTAACCGGAAATTTTTTTTTTTACTGGAACCTGAAATGCATCCGAAAAAGTCTAATGTAAATACATGAACGTATATTTAAAAATTAATACGGAAATTTTTTTCCCGGAAAACTTATGAAATGTTACTGATACTGATTACTTATATTTACTGATAGTGTCACTGATTATTGATTTTACATAGCGATTACTGGTACATTGGTCAATCAACAATTTTAATACAATCATATCATATCACATACATTTCAAATACTTTTGAAGCGAAAAATTTCCTGCAAATCTTCTCATTCATTGATTCCGGAAATTTTACTTCTCGAAATTAAAAATGCCAATTTTAGGTAAGGTTATTGTAGAAAAAAAGAAAAAATTTGAAACAATTTTCGTTTTTAATTCATCTTCCAAATGTTAAATTTCGCTTCAATTTGCAATTTTGAATAAACAATTTCAAATTGCATAAATGATTTGATAAATGAAAATAATGAAAAATATCCTAGCATTGACAACTGTCTGACATTGTTTTTTTTTTCTAATGAATTTTAAATTTGTTGGATTAAATTCTAACATGTATAATTAAATTTGTTGAAATTTCGACTTAATTCTAATCAAAATAAGCATAACTTGAATTTTTCTTTTTCGGAAAAAAAAAAAATTCGAGTCAAACATTTCTATCAAATTGCAAAATAAC